CCAGTGTTTATCCACAAACCAAATAAATGATTATCGACTTCAAAAAAAGAAAAGAAAAGAAAGAAAAAGAAAAAAGAAAACAAAGAAAAAGAAAAAACAAAGTTTTCTTTGTTTTTTCTTATTTCTTTTCTAAGAAAAAGAAAAGAAATAAGAAAAAGAAAAGAAATAAGAAAAAGAAAAGAAATAAGAAAAGAAAGAAATAAGAAAAGAAAGAAATAAGAAAAGAAAGAAATAGAAAAGAAAGAAATAGAAAAGAAAGAAAGAGAAAAGAAAGAAAGAAAAAAGAAAGAAAGAAGAAAGAAAGAAAAAAGAAAGAAAGAAAAAAGAAAAGAGAAAAGAAAAGAAAAGAAAAGAGAAAAGAAAAGAAAATAAGAAAGAAAAGAAAATAAGAAAGAAAAGAAAAAGAAAGATAAAAAAGAAAGAAAAAATTGAAAATAAAAGAAAAAGTTAAAAAAAATAAAATAAAGAGTCAATACTTATTTACAGACTTAAATGTAAGCGACCAATATTTACTTATTCCGTAATCAAGTATATATTTATAGTCTCAAAACGACCAACATTTATGTGTCTACAAACCAAAGAAATATTTATAGACTCAAATATAAACGAATAATATTTATTGAATCCCTAACTGCTTACAGATTCAAATGCACACATCCGTCATTTACCTTTCTGCAAAATAATTAAATGCTTCGAGATTCAAATATGTATTTTCAAAACACACTTATTTGACATGAAATAACGCAACACGGATTGAAAAGTCATAAAATCAAGTAATTTAAGTTTAAATACAAAGTCAATCGTAATCTTTTGTTTAATTAAATCCTGCTCCGGCAAACTTGGATCTTCATACCTTCAAAAAATGAAGTTTCAAAAGGAAGTATTTTCCCTTGATACCGCTATTTTTTTAACTACCTTCACTCCACGGCAATATTTATTCTTTTAAAAAACGACAATAAGAAATTAGAAAAAAAACTTAAACGTATGATGAAAGTAAATTTATACATTTTCTTTGTTCTTAAGAATTGACAAAAAATAATAAACGCTATTTATTGAAATGGTTTATTGGTGTGGTTGGCAAACGTCGGCTAATTGCCGATTGATTCGAACTTAATAAAATGGTAATAATAAGGATTTCCTTAAAGTTGGTTTACATATTTTAATAATTTATTAAATGTTTATAAATTTATGAATAAAAAATGTTTTCATATTTATTTCTTTATAAATTGGATTATTAGTTCTAATTGTATTAGTTTATAGAATGTTGTAAATATAAAATTATTTTTGTAATTAAAAATCTTATAAATAAATAATTAATATTTTTCTGGTCAATTCTCAAGAACAAAAAAATGTATAAATTTGATTACATTTCTAATCGCTTTTTAAAATATTAAACATTGCCGAGGAGTGAAGGTAGTTAAAATAATTGTGGTGTCAAGGGAAAAAAAAAACATCTTTTTGAAACTGATTTTTTTGTTTCCAGGTACGAAGGTTCAAGTTTGTCGATGCTCTTATATTGTCCCCTTTCCTTAATAATGTTTTGGTCTCAGATTCTTTCACACTCAGTAACCCCTTTGCGTCTTAGTGGCTTTGTCGCCTTTCTTAGGGTGAAGCAATTAAAAAAAACAAAAACAAAAAAAAAAAAACAGTGGAACCCTATTGAAGAAGTATGAAATAAATATTTATAGATTATTCCATTATTGCTTTTTTTATTAAATGCATCATGTGATAATATTAATAAAATCATTTCAACATTTGTTGTGGACTCTGTTTAATGTGGTAAAATATATTCACCTGAAAAGCGTATTAAGTTGATGAAAAAATATCTTGATACGTCAATAGTTGGATCCAAATTCTTTTTGCGAAGCGGATCTTTCTTGTTTGACATCTCCAAAGTTTATTTTCTCTATCTGAGGAGCTTTTTTTTTTATTTATTTATTTAACATAGTTATTTTTTTTGTCTCAGGCATTATAAACCAGTTTTGTTTTCACTTACACCTGAAAGTTTTTTGACTAAGGATTTAAAAACCAGTTCTCTCTCTCACACACACTCTCTCTCTCTTTTTTAAGTCTCAAACGTTCTGATCTAGAAATTTAAGAACTGGTTTTCTATTCTTTAACACCACTAAATATTTTGTCGATGGAATTAGTATCCGGTTCTTTCTTTTCATACATCCAATGTTGTTTTTTTTTGTCTACGGAATAATTAGAAACCGGGTTTGTTTTTTGTTTTTTTTAAAAAAAAAAAAAAAAAAAAAAAAAAGATCCTTACACTTTTTGTTTATGACAAATATAAGCAAATAGCTGCCCGGTTGGCATTTTGAATGACACGCTTTAATTTCAAGAGGAAAAGTCGTCGTCTTTTATTTGCCGTCTCCCTTCATGACACGAACGATCATGGCTCTCCACAATTTCCTGTTCTTTGTAGCTCTTAATAAATTTTGTCTTTTTGTTATCTCTCTTAAACCTTGTTCCACCATCCATTTACGCAAGCTCCCCAGCTGGGATATGCTTTGTTTTCCTCTGTTCCTCTTGCCTTCAAATCTGTCCTGGGAGCATCACATTTTATTTCATTTAATACTCACTTGGTCACTCACATTGTTTCATACTTACATACAAAAACTACGAGGAAGTACAATGTTTCTTGAATTTTGTAAAATTTCGTTGACGGCAACGTTTTCATCATTTTAAATTAGGGAGAACAGCAAAAACACGTTATCCAAGGTTTAAAATTCATTTTTTTTTTTAAAAGAAAAATGTTTCTTGAAGTTTTTATTTTAGCTTTAATTTCAAGTTAATAGATTAAATTTAATATTTCCAATAAGGAAAATACTTTGCTGTATTTCAAAAACTAATTTAAATTAATTCGAAGATTTTTTTTCTAAAATGGCTGATTAGTGCCCCTTTTTTAGTAATCTTTCATCGCAATGTAATTCTCTTTACTAAAAAACTTCCACAAATAAAATATATTTTTCTGAAACTTTATTTGAGGAATATTAGCTTATTTAAAGTATAATTAATCTGATTTGAAAAAAAATTTAATTTAAGTTTAAAGCATCGCAGAAATGCATTGTTTAACCAGGCAGTAAGTTTGGTGTCATATTTGATTAAGTGATGACAGCTGTAATGTTGTTCAAAGTAAAACCATAAATTAAGAAAATAACGTGAGCGCTTTTTAAAATTAATTTGTAAATACACAGTAATCTTAAAATGCAAGAAAATATTCTCTATAATATTGTTTTATTGAATTTTAGGAATTTTGGCTTTAAATTTTTCTTATTTTCTGATAATGTCGTGTATGGTCACCCGTACTTACAAAAACGGCACGTAAACATGTTTTGGTTTAGACACAGCAAACATTCATAATATTTTATTTTCTGGAGAAAATATATATATATTTTCGTTTTAAAAATATTTCTGCCTTGTCGGAGTTACCTCCTCCTTAATTCCCAAATTTTCATTAGGAGTCGGTCTCCCTATATTATAAATACTGGGCGACTCCTCGCCTCGTTCTCTTTTTCATTTCAGCGACTACAATGTAAGCTCTCTTAGAAGATCCGCCACGACTACTATCATCAAGCCGCTCACCCTAGAGCATTAGAAGTCGGTTCAAGCAATGATGTACCTGATGGAAATTATTAGAAGGATTTCATAATTATAATTAAGTAATTCATCGAGTCTAGAAGAAGCCTCAACAGAATGCAGAAAGCACTGGGCGGCCGTTTCGTCCTATATTTGGGACTCATCAGCAGTGCGTATCCACTAACTAGAATTGAAACCCTGACAGTTACGTTATCATACAAATGTCATACCAACTGTTCTCGATCATATATATATATAGGTCTTGTTTGTCATCATTATCTTCAGTTGGACTTAATTCAAGTCTGACCATTTTCTTGTAGTTGGACTTTTTAATATTCTACAAGGAGTTAAACACGTGTTTCTAATACAACAACACGCAAAACACACACAGAGTCCATAACAGTATCATCCAATGAATAAATTAGTATCTGTTAATCACTGGCATTAGTGATAATATTATGATGTCGTGAGTTTCATTTTTTTAATTATAGAAAATATTTTCTTTAATGAAAAAACAACCAACTTTTCCGTATTTCAAATACACATGGTTTTTTGTGTATGGCCTTCTGTTGGGAAAATGGTTGAAGCACATTCAACAAAAAATTACCATGACATTTTTTTTCTTAGTTAAGCACAACGTATGATGAGCCATATCTAATAGAACCCACTAGTCGGTTAAGGTTACCCGTGCTTGGTCTATGAAAAATTAAAGACGAGTTCTTTAAATTTTTGAGTTTTTTGTGACTTAAATTAAGACCTAGTTCTCTTATTTTTTTTTTCAGCACAAATTTTTGTCTATGAAATTAGGGATCGGTTCTCTTTTTAAAAATCCTTATTTCTTTGTCGATGGATAAAAACCAACAACCAAAAAAGAAAAAGTCGTTCTGCTTTCTATGGCTTTGCAGGCTATTTAAGGCCAGAAAATATTTTTAGATTGTAAGAATCTTTTTAGATAATAATTGTTTAATGATATTAGTTTTAATAATTAACCCATAGCTGGGGGAGAAGAGGTAGATTCATGCCTTTCTCAAGGTTATTTGCGCGTAAGTGAATGTAATGAACCCAATGGGAATTGGAACTAGGCTCTCAATTTCGAACCATTATCCATTACACCACCCGCACATCCAAGCTTACACACCTTGTACCCCAGGTAGCTTCCCATTCGGTATTCAATGACCGAGTAGCCAGTTATTTCTCATCTTCTACTCACCCAACTCCACATAGGTCTTGAAACCTGTCAGTCCAGAAGCACCCCACCCCACATATCGAGGTTTTCTGTTGGTATAGTGATTTTACTAAGCGTAGCTTAGTTGTGGCACAAGGTCGAAAGTATGGGGCACTTAGTGTGTCTTCTGCTAGTATAAGTATTGAGATTGTATCCATCACCGAATTGCTAGGCCCGTCGCGTAGCGTAGAAAACCTGGTATTCTCCAGAAGTCACCAATCTGTGTACTGGCCCGGCTCGACGTTGCTTAACTTCGGTGATCGAACGTGAACCAATGTTTCAACGTGATATGGCCATAACCAGCGAGTGATACTGTCGGTTGTTATAAAATCTTTCTATTAAAATAATTTGTTTTAGGAAAATAGTTTTCTCAAGTTCAATAGCTATTATCGATCTTTTCAGTATTGTTGGAGGTTTCCTTCCTAACCTTTTGTTTGAAGTAGTGTGGAATGTCAACGTCTTGATTCTATCATTATTTTATGTTCTAGTCGTATGTAATATCCAATTGAATTAACTTCGGGATCGTACAGGAACCAGTGTTTCAACGTGATGTGGCCGTAAACACGTTCGTGTCATTTTTAATAAAAGGTTCGCGCGAACCATTGTGGAAGCCATGTATAATTTACAACGTTCATTCCCATTCGTTACTTTCAACGATTTGTCAGCAGAAGACTGTATAATAGCGAAGACTGTATAATAAAGTAGCATTACCAGCTGGCCTCGATAACCTGGTTATTGACAATGATATCTCAGGCCCCGCAACCGTTCCAGAACTGATGAAGGCTTTGCTGCCGTTATAGCTATTGTTGTCATAGTAGAATAAATAGGTGATTATATTTATTTTAAATGTAGATTCGGAATTCAGCTTTTATCCTGAGATCATTTCCAATCGAAACTATTTCGTTTTTCACTTTTTTTTTCTGGATCCCACCTGGCCAAAATTAATCGCAGATTTGAGTCTGTTCCCATGGTTATTTGATCAGGTGTCATCTCGTCACGCGAGAACGTGACCTTGTGACGTCAGCCGGGGAACAAAACGTTTAAACAAAGACAACCTGTTGTCTTGTTACGCAAAGCTTTGAAGTCTAAAACAGAGAACAATACATTCGGCTGGGAGACGACAGGGAAAAATAAACAAAAACACCTGCGGACAGGTGAGAGATGTGACGGCAGAAACTCAGCAAGGTGATGAAATCTAATCAACGTTAGTTTTTAATTGATGAAGCAATAGGGAAGAAGAAAGAGAAGATGAGAGGAAAAAGGAGAGAGAGAGAGAGAAGAGGAAAAACAGAGAGAGAGAAGAGGAAAAACAGAGAGAGAGAAGAGGAAAAACAGAGAGAGAGGATGAAGAATAAAGAGATTAGAGAGAAAAAAAGAAGAAGAGAGAGAGAGAGAAAAAGAAGAAGAGAGAGAGAGAGAAAAAAAAGAAGAGAGAGAGAGAGAAAAAGAAGAAGAGAGAGAGAGAGAAAAAGAAGAAGAGAGAGAGAAAAAAGAAGAAGAAGAGAGAGAAAAAAGAAGAAGAGAGAGAGAAAAAAAGAAGAAGAAAAAGAGAGAGAGAAAAAAAAGAAGAAAAAGAGAGAGAGAAAAAGAAGAAGAGAGAGAGAGAGAAAAAAGAAGAAAAAGAGAGAGAGAGAAAAAAAGAAGAAGAAAAGAGAGAGAGAGAAAAAGAAGAAAAGAGAGAGAAGAATAAAAAGAAAGAGAAGAAAAGAAAGAAAAGATGAAGGAAAGATCTAAGGAAGGAATCGTAGGAAGTGAGAAAGAAATGATGACAGGAAGAAAAAATGAGATGAATACAAGAAATGAAAATAAATACGCATGCGCACAGTCACTTTTGACAAGACATCCAGCAACAAACGTGTTCACAGGGACACAAAACAGTTCGTTTGAAAAGATAATGACTACAGTAGCCATCCTGATAAGGAGGGACAACTATATTCGTTATCTATTCAATGCAGCTGTTCCAACACTTTGACCGAATGCCTGAAATCACAGATATTAACGGGCATTATATATGTTTATATTCCTACATCTAACTACCTATGATAAAGTTTAATTTATAAATTAGGCACATTAAGAGATTGACAACAATGATAAATAATAAAATAGAACAATTCTAACAATTAAACTGGAATAAATGTTATGTGACAGAAAATATCTGTTTTTCGTAAGAATCACTGAAAAAAGCCTTTGAGTTATTCAGCTAGAAAGAGAAGAGATTAAAATCGTTTTGTGTCGGGCCCACTGTCTTCCCAACTGAGCAAAGGTGAGAGGAAAAAGATCATTCAGGCTTTCAGTAATGGCACCAGTATTCTTACTCTGGATTCCATCTTCAAAGTCCATTCAAGAACCATGAAGGGACATCATTTCAACTTCGAGCTAAAGAGATCAATTAGAAAAGATCCAACTCAATCCGGAAGACGTTTAGCACGTGAGAGAAGAGTTTCAGCTATGACAGTCCAAAGAGCAGTGAAAAAAAAGACTTGAAAAGTGAACATTGAAGTGAACACTCATGCAATCGTCAGGCCGCGAGTGTTGGATTTTTTCTCGACTAAAAATCAAACACTCACGACCTGACGATTGCGTCTAGAATGAAACAGCCTGTTGCCTCTGAGTGTTGACTGCAATGTTTACTTTTCTATTTATATTCACATACGCTCTATCTGTTATTGCGCACTTTATCCCGTAAATATAGCACACCTTAAAAAAACTATATATATATATATATATATATATATATATATATATATATATATATTTCTTGATAAAATCCAAAGACGACTCTGCAATCTCGGCTTCAGCTCCTTTCACACGGGCGTAACGTAGCTTCCCTGTCACTTTTCTATAAATACTTTTGTTATATACCGTAACTATGAACACTAATGGGTATGTCCCAATCCTCATAAATACGTTGGATACTATTGTAAGGGGGGGTGTAATATGCTAAGTAGTCCCCCACTAGCAGTGGTTTACCTACTTCTTTCAGCTGGCGAGTATTGTATTTTGTTGATGTTATAAAAGATTACTATTTCCAACTTCCGTTTTGGTTATTCCTTATTCAGTAAACCTTCCAAGGTTACAACAACTTTCATGGCCGTTGTTCTGATGAACTATCCTAAATGGTAAGTAGACTTTATCAATTGAAGCGCAGTACTAGATTGGCGGCACGGTCCCACATTTACAGATGAAATGTCTACATATAAATGTACGTTCTATGATAACAGCTTCTTCTCTCGCACTTCTCGCGTGAAACTGTTTTGACTTCTTGCTTCATATACACAGATACACACATATATATATATAATCATAAATAAATATATATATCTTAATGAATATACCAAATATCCAACATCAATAGCACAACTCGCATGCAGTTCTTGCAATCTTCAAGTGCCGAACATATTCTGACCATTAAATAGTTCGCGTTCTCTTGGCGATGATTCAAAATTGTGTGTTAAAACTTGTTTATTTAATGCTGTCTAAAATATTAGAATGATTAATAATTTATATCATTCATATTCTTAAGTTCGAAAGGCAAAGAATTAAAAAAAAAAAAATTTAAAAAAGTTTTTTAAATTATTAAAATTTAAAGTTGAATTCAGTAGTAAAAATATATCAAGAGAGACAACTTTTTTTTTTCTTTTTTTACATAAAATATCCTAGTTATACCAATTAGCTTAAAGTAGAACGCAGGGTGGAAATGCACTAGAAGAGTACGAAAAAAAATAGGTTGGGATTATATATTTAATGTGTTTGGAACCAAACCTTGTACTTATAAAGGTGAAATTTTATATACACACGTCATATATTAATCGAGTCCATTAATATTGGATTGTATGCATGTATAGATAAATAACAAATTCTATTAGTGATGGGTTCCAAGAATATTAAAAGGTCCTCAGGTTACGTCGGACCCGACGTACGGCGTTTCATGGTTACGGTATCATCTTCCATAATATAATTCGTTGTCATGCGGCGCTATATGACGAAGACGGCGTTGTTATTTCACCGGCTGTACGCCATATTGGATTGTGCTACACTATATTTCGTTTGTGTCGATTTTTTTCTTTCTTTTTGGAACATTATGCCTTTCATAATGGCTGTCAAACGTAAGGTAGACTTGTGGGTGCTTATGTAGGGGAGTTCTGATCTCTGTCGAGAATCAGGTTACATCACGACCCCCTGATATATATATATATATATATATATATATAATGAAATAGACAAAGTCCGACAATTATTTTAAGACATTTTTATGTTTATACATTCTTTTTATAGATACAAATATTCAAGTATATGCTCTGTTTATAATAAACAGTATTAAACAACATTTACCGGCCTGAATGTCAGAAATTTTCATAGAATTTAAATGTTGTTTAATACTGTTTATTATAAACAGCATTTACTTGAATATTTGTATCTATAAAAAGAATGTATAAACGTAAAATTATCTTAAAATAATTGTCGGACTTTGTCCATTTCATAATGTGTGACGTCATTGGTTTACATTTGGATACGCTTTGAGCAGATATGAATATACATGAGAGAATCATGGATGATGGTAGTTTAAAGACAGTAAAATCGACCTTGCTAACCGAACGCGGCCAAATCGGTTAAAGGCATGTCAGGCTATATGACGATTCCATATAGGATTCAGGTTCGATTCCTGTCGGAGGACGAATATTTCCTATGAAAATTTCTCGGACATTCAGGCCGGTAAATGTTTAATTCTGTTTATTATAAACAGAGCATTTGTATCTATAAAAAAAATGTATAAAAATAAAAATGTGTCTCTCTCTCTCTTATATATATATAATTATTTATTCAAAAATTATAATATAAACATGTAATAACATCACTAGAAATGATATATATATATATATATATATATATATATATATATGCGTATCTTCGTTCGAGCACTAATTTCAGCAGTTCACATCACAATGTTTCAATTATATTGAGATCATTGTGTTTGTCAGAAGATTAAACTATAGCAAATTAGTATAGTTTGCACTATTCAGGTTCTCAACGTTTACAATTTTCCTTCTGCCATTCTATTACGTGTCCACCACCAAATTTTACCGTCTTTGTGATGTATATCTTGCATTGTTTTTCTCCCACTGCTTTTGTTACATATTCTCTTGAATTAGAATGGAACTCTATTTTGCATCCATCACTAAAAATCATTTTTTGCCACTCTCCAGCATCCCATGTTTGATGTTCTTTTGACCGTTCAATCTGAGATCGCGGATCTGAGCATATAGCTATGGTATCCTGTTAATGGTTTCACAGCCAGACAAGTAAGGAGTGAATGCAGTCTTAACAGCAAGGGTTTATTTTGTCCGAAGATGTTGAAAATTGTTTAGGACTGATTGTCTTTATTCGAGAAAAAAAGTTTACAGATTACACACACAAACACGATCTCTTTCTTTCCCTTTTCAAGATGATGGGGAGCGTTGCATAGAAAGTTAATTTATCGATAACGAGTCTCGGCAGAAATCAGTAAAAAAAAAACAAATAAACTTGCAGTTAAGCTGATAGACTGACAGCAGAAGACACAAATACAAACGATAATAAATTTCTGACAGCCTAGTGTTTTGATAGATCTGAACAGACCGGGCAGAGCGACCTAAAGACACTATATATATATATATATATATATATATATATATATATATATATATATATATATATATAGCGAACATATTCAGATAGATGGATAGATAGGTAAAAGGACAAAAATATATTTATAAATCCGAACTAGAGTGGGAGAGAGAAGATTGTGTTTGATAGTCTCAGGGATTGATTGATTAAGTCTATTTTCAATAAGCAATTAATTAGCTTGATGGAATTGAGTAACAAATTTGTAAATAAACAAATTGAAAATTTTTCTAAATGAATGCTGAAATCATTTCTCATTTATTCTTGATCTATCTAAGGATTTTCGGATCTATCTACTTTGACGTACCAAACTTTTGGGCAACCTTGGCAAATTAATTACTTTTGTTGATATCATTCCAGAATCGAGATTGATTAGCAATATGAAACGTGGGAACGCGGGAGTTTTAAAAAAAAGTTAAGTTGTCTGTGAGTATGTATGCGTTTTTGTAAATTCATAACACTTCAATTGTTCGTTTTTTTTTTATGGCTGATGCAGCGTTCTAAATTTCAAAGTTCACGTGTTTTTTTTTCTTTTCCCAGTATAAGGGAATAAACTTCTCCATTTTGGCTCTTGCATATGCAATTCTTATAAGCATTTAAAGACTTTGTTGCTATACTTATAATTGATGTTATTTATTTGGGGCTTTAATTCTCATATATAAAAGGCTTCAAGGATTCTTAATTTTTGCTTATTATTGTTGTTATGTAATATAAATGTATTTTCAACTAATATCCTTCTAATCTGTGAGTGTGGGTATGTGCGTTCCTTTTAATGCTGAGTTATTGAACTACGCTTGGCCAAATGAAATGTAAGCTTTGTTAGCATCGTTGTAGTAAAGCCAACGTACGTATTGACATTTTTATCAGAGATACAATCTCCTAAACGAGATTTAAATTGATATACAATGTTGGCCTTTTTGCAAGATGCTATTTGGCGGAGAATACTTGTTTTGGACAACTAGATTTGTTGTATTAAATTTAGTGTAGTACATGATTCATTTTATTTTTTTTTTACTTGGCTCAGTGAGGAATAGATTAGCATTTATGAGCCATTTTAGAATTTTTCCTCTTGCTTATAATTAGAATGCATTTGATTACGGTATATTAGTTTGATATGTTTAGAGTTATTTGATGATGTATTCATTTTTATGTTTATATATCTAATATTTTGCCTAATTTCTTCATAAACAATGTAATTAGGGAAGTCAATATTAATGAGGCTTTTGTTTAATATTTTTTTTTTTGAATAA